TATATATATATATATCCGGTGTCCGGGCAATAGAGTATAACACAGGGAATTCCTATTTTCCTTCGAAACAATTCGAACCTGAAGACAACTGGGAGCGTTTTCTGCTGATAAACAACACTTACGTGCCCCGCATACGCTCCCAGAGATCGACTTCCTCTTTTGTCTCGCTTCTTCTCGAGGATAATACGACGCCCCCTCTTTTTCATCTCGAGAGGCAGCGAAATATTTTTAACTTGTTTAAAATCGAAGAAAGGAAGAAGAAAAGTATACGATCGATTCTAGACGAAATTTTCGAGACAACGATCTCGAGCTATCGATCTTAATTCAATCTTCATCGTTATTTTTCAGTCTATCAAAATTCCTCGAGTTTCCACCTTCTATTCGATTTTCCAATTTTCCTCTTACCTTAATCCTCTCTCGAGATCTTGTCTCGAATCTAAATCTACGCCTGAGTCTAATAACCAAAACCTCGTGTCTTGCCAGGATTCAACGAGATTTTGCTTAGAACTAATCTCGAACTTGCTCAGAACTTCAACCTATTTTCGCATACCTATATGTGAGTTGAATTTACATTCCTGAGCTCCGCCGTGAGCAGATTCTTGTACAAATCTACTCCCGTGTGTAAAGTTGCTTCTTCGAGCGAGTGATTAATGCGAGCTTACACGACGATGCGTGTTTCAAACATCTTTTATCCCTATTAATTTATCGAGTTGTTCAATGTCTCAAAAAATTATTTTAATCATTTTAACCAGAATATATCATGCCCGTTTGAATTATAAAGAATATTCTTAGAAGTTGAGTCGTCGAGCGAGCGAAATTTGGCGAAGGTATTCATATAAATTCGGGCATATTCGAAATATACTTTATATAAAACGCGAGCAATTACAATAAATTATCGCAAAGCCTTCTTCCGTTCGCAAAACGCTCTTTCGAAGGTAGTAGGAAAGTAATTAAGAAAGTTGGGTAACGCGTTCCACTCATTTTCATAATCACCGCGCGAAATGGTATAAATTAACAGTAAACGTAAATCAGCGATGCATTTAAGGGAGCCAGGTTGGTTGGTGGTCAGTTTATCCCACCATCTTCGCAAATACCAAACTTTATATTAGATACATTTCTCAGGGAAGAAAACATTTTTTTTTAAAGCTGTCGTTAATTTTTTTTTTTTTTTATTAGGGGATACAAGCCGTTTCTTAACTTTTCCGCTAGATTTTCTTTTTTTACGTCGACATTTATCGTTTGCCATTGCACTCGAAGTTTCGAGCGAGATTTATAAATTAATGGCATGCAATGAAGACGCGAATTTATTTTTTTGACATTTATCGTTTGCCATTGCACTCGAAGTTTCGAGCGAGATTTATAAATTAATGGAATGCAGTGAAGACGCGAATTTATTTTTTTCTTACTTGGAGTTTACGCTCGCAGTTGGATTCTTAACAATTTTAAAATTGTTACGAGTGGATTCCTTTAAGAAAATATCTCTATCGATACACAACAGAGTCTATGGAGTTGTGATTGGTGTTTCGAAAAGTTTTCACGACAAGTAAGTCTTCAGTTATTGTAGCCTCACAGTGGAGTAAAATGCACTTTTTTTTTTCCCACGAAGGAAATTTTCTTCGATCACGTACGTGGAAGGAGGAAGAAAGTCTGCCTTTGTGCGGGCACGTGCGCGAAATTCCAAAAAGTCGTCTTTGATTGTGTTGGAACGTAGTCTGGAAAAGATAGACCTCGAGAGTTGATCGAAAAATCGAGCGTGTTCGCGAATTTTTCTCCGCGAATATTTATTTTTAATTAAAAAAAGAAGAAAAATTTCTTCACTGCTTAACTATCCACGTAACTTCCAACTTATAAATTATTCCTCGAATCTTAACTCGATGAATCTCGATGGCTCTCTCTTACCGACTATTAATAATATTTTCATTCGTCCACGAATCGTTTCAATCGTTACACTAATCGAAACACGAACGATCGTGTCGGCAATCGCGGAGAGGAGGGGCAGTCGTAAATAATTCACCCTCAAAGGCGTGCAAATTCTGATCAATGACGATTAATCGTCTGCCCATATACGATACCACGGTTCTGCAGCGGTGGTACAACTGGACAACTCAATCTCGATACGTTTCAACCGACGCCAATTTGTTTTACGAGCTACAACCGCTCCACACCTGCGTGTACCATAATCGAGGCCGTGATCCGTGTACGGATCGATCGCTTATCTTTTATCCCTCTCGCTCCTTCAACAGGATCGTTGCGTATATAATTCACGATAAGAAAAGAAAAATAAAAAAACTTTTGCAAAATTTATTTCTCTTCCTCCATCCATGTCTCTTCACCATTAGATCCCTCTTTACGAGGAAGAAGTTCAAGAGAACAAATCCTGGCGCGTATAGAATGGATAGATAGATTCGTTCTTCTTCGTATTCGGTCAACCGCGTGATCGGCGCCGAGCAAAGGGGCTGCGGGGGGAAGAGGGACGAGGTAAGAACGAGACACCCGGTAGCCCTTTGCTCCGTCGTGCGAATAATGCATTCAGTCGAGACTTTGCACCGCCGCGACATCTTCTATCCGAGAAAATGGTTCGCAATTTCGACACGAGGGGGAGAGGATAAAGGATAGAGAGTTAAAGCAGGAAGGTTGGAGGAGGATGCGCTTATAGCCCGTATGGCCCCTATTACAAATCCAATACCCACCTAGCGCGATGGTATACGCTTTTTCTCTCTCCCTTCCCTCTTTTTCCTCCTCCTCAGTAGTCCTCTTCTCTCCCCTGTTTTCTTTCCCCGCCCAATCTATCCGAGGGGTAAGGGCCAGATCTTCCTCCGTCTTGGCGCGATGCTGCTATAAAACATATTCGCTGACAGCGACAATATTCCCCCTAGATGCAGAGTCGACAGAAGCAACGCTGTTCGATTCTGTTGCCAGTCTTAGAAAGGAAATGCGGTCCACCGAGATGGGAGTAATATAGGTTTCTGATCGGTCGAAAGGATTATGTCAAATAGATGGATGATTCAACCGTGGGTATTCAGGTGTCACATCCTTTTCGACGATGATTCGGTTCACGTCTTTCGCGAATTTTAATTCTTTGGAAATTTGGAAACGGAATAATTTATTTTTCTCGTTAAAGTATCGAGATTTAATCTCGTTTCGCAGAAACACGTGTTCTCCTTCTGTAATGATAGAGAAACCGCTAGTTCGCTTCGTTCAATTTTATTCGCGATTATTTTAGTTATGTACGGTAACCGGTAGATGTAGCCAACTTCGTATTATACGATATTATACGGTAGGGTAAAGTAGAGAGTATTGCGGTTGGTCGGGCAAAGGACGGGCTCGCTGATTAGGAAACGAGCGTGCTTCAAAAACATATCCCTGCTGACGATATTTCATCTCGGGAAAGGCTCGACAATGGAACCATCTGTGGGTAAACGCGGGAAGAAAATTGGTTCTTGGATCTATTAGCCGCGTAAAATGTTATCTCTTAAAGCTCGTTTTACGACGAGGCTGGGCCAAATAAAGCATCGTCACCAATTTATCTTAAATACGAATTTGTATTCCCTTCGAATCGTCGTTTCTTTCCTTTTCGTTATTGCAATTCGTCGTTGCTTTCGCGGTTCCCTTTTTACCATTCAATTTTATCTCATTAATTTCTACGTAATTGAATAGAATTTCTCTGCTCAAAAGTATCTAACAAATATCTACTCTACGTGGAATATTACGAAAATAGAATAGAAACTTGAAATTTTGGGAAATTGTTACGTTGTTGAGACGAGAGAAGCTCGTCGTATATATTTCGTCACGACTCGTTTTAAACTTCACGAGGGGATAGTTCTTGCCTCTCTGAAATATATGTTTACACGTGAAGCGCGTTCCTTGAGTTAACGCGCACCATGCATACGAAATGGAACCCCGCCCTACAATCTTTATCCCGCCGCTATTAAGCATAATGCTCATCCGAGAAAAGCGCTGCTCGGATTCCGAGGTGTTAGACCGTCCCTTTTAAGGGAAGCTGGGGATATACGGAGGGACCACGTCTCGTCCACGTGGCACGTTCTCAATATGCATCGCGGCGCCACCTTCTTTCGTAGAAGAACCCGTTTCCTCGGTGGGGCGAGAAGGGGAGGAATAGACTTTGCGCCCTTTCAGCCGATCTCTTGGACAGAACGTTTTATATAAATACTTGAATAGATTCCTTCGCGTAAACAGATTTAACACTTTACTTTTAAAGAAGAATCTGCGTCAAACAAAGTATTCCTTCTCGTTCTTTATGTATACTTGAAGAAAGAGTGGGGGAAATCTCCTTTAAGTTTTTTCAGCTCTTTAAGTTCGATTCTTCGTATTGGGTATACTTTCTCGAAATCTTTTCGAGAATTTTTATCAAGTTAATCCATAAATGAGCTGAATTTTTTCCGAAGGAAAATCAAAAGTGAATTGGAAAGTATTTCTTTTTTTTGCAAACAATTTCTCGAAATGATTGATATTTATTTCCCCTCTCGCTCGATTCGCGCTTTGCAATCTTTAGATCGATAGATCGGATGAAACGAGGTAAAAGTTATATTCGGTGATGTACGGATGCGTGACGAGACGAAATAAATAAAAGTTAAAAGTTGCTCGATCGAGCAATTCCACTCGAAATTCCCCCAACCCCTCCCGATCGTATCGCTCCGAGCTCCAACCTTTCTTGTTTCCGCCC